CGCTCGCCGTCCGACTCCGCGAGTGCTGCGATAAGGCGAGCGCGATTTGTTATTATCGCCGGCGTCGTATTATTAAAATGACCCCCGCTCCGCCCGCGGTCGTCCCTCGTAGGCCTAGTCTCGTCTAGCGCGAGATTAAAGCGAGCGCGCGCTCGAAAAAGAGCGCCTTCAAGCCGATCTCTCGCTGCCGTCAGCGAATGAGGAACCGGGGATCACTGGGGTCCGCCTCTAATTATTCCATTACGGGTACATTGTACGGCACGGCGACGGGATCTCCCGCGAGATCCCCATAAAACGAAGACGTCGCTTTCGTGTCGCGGTAAAACGATACATGTATCGTCATGCGACCGATCCAATTGTACGTTATTGCCGGCTAAAGCGGGGTTAATGGCGAGCTATGCGTTCGCCGTAATCGCCACGAACGCGTACGTCCGCGTACGTTGCGCGCACGTACTTTCACGTCGCGGATACCCCGTTCGCAATAGTTCGATTGCTCGCTCGTTCGCGCGCGAGATGAGTCCCGGTTACATCCGAGAGGAAATCCAATTGATAGGAGGGCGAGAGCCGCGTGGGAAAATGTGAAGCAAAGGTTTCTGCAAAGAGTTTTTTTTTCCACGTGTCCGCACGGAGAGAATTTTTTCTTTCAAAATTTCTCCTGAGAATTGTGTGATCGTGGGACAACGCGGCATTTCGAAGAATTTTATGAGTTTCTGAAATTTTAACTTACATCTCATTAGTAATTATATTTATTGTTAGTATACATTTTACTGGTAAAATGTACGGTAAAATTTCCAAAAACTCTCATAAAGTTCTTCAAAATGCCATGTCGTCCCACGATCACATGGGTTTCAGGGTAAATTTTAAAAGAAAATTCTCTCCGTGCGAATACAGTTCACGATATGGCAGAGAGGCGTCGAACTCGCAAAGTCGAGCATTGGCGTATACCACTAAAATGTAATTTACGTAAACCACTGAAAATCGCAGTGGTACAATTATAACTGTGAATCAGTGACTATTCACCGTTTTCAGTGATAATTCGCTGATTGATTCTTAGAGAGTAAGACTATATTATGAGTAATTTATATATACTATTATAGAAATGAAGAAACGCGCACAATTTGTAGTTGAGCATTGTACATTTTTAAGAATACGCAACGTCAATTTAAAATATACAGTAATTTATCACTCACTGATACGTTGCGCAACAGCAGAGTTGTACATCGTTAACTAGATTTGGTAATCTGTAAAAATACAAATATGTAGGTATATGATTATTATAAACTCATTATGTAAAATCGAAATTATTGTATTAAATATACTTTATATTTTATATTTAAAAAATAGGTATTTATTAAAATAATTAGACAAAAAGTCTTCCTTTAAAATATAAACTCACAAAATTTTATACGTATAGTTTTATCTCTAACACTTATTCGAATCCTCGTTGGAATCATTTAAATAAATAAAATAAAAACACAGAACAGATGCTTATTTTGAATAAGTAGCAAATGACATACAAATGTAAGACACTTACCTCACCATTTTTCCGCCGTTGCCCGATGCCACCTGGGCCTCCTCCTCCTCTCAGATTTCCTTGTGGCACTAACACAACACTCACTCGCAAAAA